GTCCATGAAAGCTTTATCACTGATTTACAAAAAGGACAAAATATATTGTCTGTCCCTGCAATCACGGTAATATTTTTGAAGCATGAAAATTACAAGATCACTGTGGAAAACACATGTTAATAAGTTAACCATCATGAGTTTCCCTAGATGTAAATATAAAAAAATATATATATCAACCACTATTAATTCTTAATACTGAAACTGATGCATTTTCACTAAACCTGAACATGATTAACATAAAGATGCAAAACTATTAATTTCAAATCATCACTCAAGCAAAGACTAAACAGTAAATCAGCACTGGGAAAAAGGGAGGTTCTAAAATGTAGTCCGTAAACACACTTACAGCATGTCCAGGATCACCAAAATATCTTTCTATCGTTGAACAAAAAGACAAAAAAAAGTATTTGGCACAAAAATTATGGCAAAATCTGTAAAATTGAATAACTGTTGACAACAAAATGGCACAAAGTTCAATCGTTGGCTTCCGCGGTCAATTCTAACACCCTACTGTCAAACTTATTGTTCCTGTTATGGACAAGTGCTGCATGTTTTCAAGTGCTTCAATATATAGGGCAATCATGTTGCTTCATTTGCTTTTGACTGAATAGAGTTAATCAACAAATTGATTCTGCAAACCCTATCTTGATGAGCTGGCTACAACCAGATGAAGTCCCCCGAGAACATAAAGGATGTGGTACCGGCAACTTGCTGGAATTCATTACATGCACATAACAATGTGAGAGGTCACTGGCGGATTCTAGCTTCTACATTGGAAACTAAATAATTTTGTAAATTCTGTTCACACAAATTTGTTGAGAGAAGTATTTTTGACAATGTATTTTCAAGATTTATTTATAGTAGGTGGTATCTCTTTCAAACATAAGAGTGCTGGATGATGATGACGATGATGATGATGATGATGATGATGATGATGATACACTATGAGTTACACAGTATGATAAACCGATGACTTTAACACTAATCATGTCCATCAAAGTTTGCACCTGTTTTTATCACAACATTAAAGGACAACAGCTGTTGAAAGTTGCATTGAAATAACTTTCTGACATGATACAGAATACTACTTTCATACAACAAATTACAATACTCAGCCATCATAAACCCTGCTTAAATCCAAGAAATTATGATCTATCTCATCTACGATAAGAAGCCCTATGCTTCAATCATCCAAATTTTCTCGGCACGCACTATCATCAATTCAGACCGTATAAAGTTACAAAAACGCATCACAACGAAACAGTGGAACAACAATTTCCATGGGAACACACAAGAGCCAATCGTCCAATATCCCAAAAAGAATACTTCCAACACAAGATCTTACATGTGGTCCCCAGAACACTCCATCGTAACCTTGCAGCCAAGTCAGCAATGAAGCAGATGGGCATGCTGCACCTCAGTGGAAGAACCGCCCCACTGGAATCAATACTTCATAAATACTATACACTGTGTAGTTGGCTACAGTGTGCCCTTGGAGGGACGAGAGGGTGCAGTCGTACATGTCTCAGGCTCGCTGTGTTCTCTTGGCAGTTACAGGCGAATTACTGTGGGATAACGTCGATATAATCCTGATTCAATAGGACTGATAGTTTCAAGATCTCTCTCACTGAAGGTGTAAGGCTTCCAGGTCAGACTGGTCTTCCACAATCCAAACACTCACAGACATTGGAAGTTACATCAATTTCTTGCTTCTGAAAGAATGGTTGGAAGCAGTCTGTCATATAAGTTTTGATTGGGGGACATATATTTTTTATCTGACTGAGTAATTATAGAGCTTCCCACGGCCAGTGGACCTGAGCTGAGAAGCCCAAACATTACAATTCAAACTAAAACTCTAGCCAGAGAGTAATACATTGTGCTCAGGAGTGAGTATGAGTGTAGTTTTACGCCGCCTTTAGCAATATTCCAGTAATATCATGTCGAGGAACACCAGAAATAGGCTTCACACATTGTACCCATGTGGGTAATCGAACCCGGGGTCATTGGCATGACGAGCGAACACTTTAACCTCTAGGCCACCCCACCGTCCCTGCTCAGGGATAAGTACAAAATTCAACGAAGTAGTCCTATTTGACCAACAGCATTTATGGCTGTAATGCTTCATTTGTAATTAATTGGAACCAAATACTGAAAGAATATGTAAATACGTCGGTAGTAAAAATTTTAGTTTTATTCAAGCAGAACACGCTGCTAACGCTGACGACTAGTTTTTCAAAAGATCAATTTCAAAGGTGGGTAGAGTCTGAAAAAGCGCATGACCCTCATTACAGCTGCAATATGGATCCATTGGCTGGGACTGTATAATGATAATGGGTCATTAGACCTCCAGGTCTTTAAATCAATCTACAGCTAGTCAAAGTACAAAAAGATGATCTAAGAGTCAGTTGCTTTTAACTTTGCTTCAACCTGTTATATACTACCCATCAAAAGTTTAGAGTCGCATAAAACAATCACTATAAGTTATGTATGTACATATGGTTACAACGAAGATGAATTTCTCCACTAACATGGGGGAAACATTTTCAAACCTTATGCAGATTAATTGCACAAGGATCATGCATCAAATCGCTGAAAAGCATGTGCAAATATCGTGCATATGTACAGCTGCGCTTTGGTATAAAGTTTTGATAAAAATCGCCATTTTTTCACCGAGTTTCATCATATATTGAACACATGACAATAAACTTTTCAAAGTCACAAATTATGTTTTACAATACATCAGCTCATGTATAAACAGTACCTTTAAACTGTATGGATTATTTTACAAAATCTAGTTCAGAACAGTTGACTGAAGTAAGTGGCTACATTTACACTTGTGAGTGTAAACCTATGATGGGGAGTATATAACAAAGTGTCAGCTTACAGTGGGAGGAAAGCCCAGCAATGCTGGTTAGACATTTGCCACTATGGAAAAACTGATGAGCACAGTGCAGGTATGGTGCAGACAAACCTAGACACAATATCGGGAAATATATGGATTTGAACCGACAGTTGTTGTTTTCTATCATACCCAAGTAAGGCAACTCTGCACAGCCACATGTGGCACTGAAGACAACTTGAATATCTTTGTGCCCCAAACAAAAAACTAAATGATCACAATTTCACTAGAGATAATTGGATTTATGTCGAAGTATCTCGGCCCTCGTAATATTTGGGACACCTTACCACTATCATGATAATCCGTATGATAGGTATTTCCAGTATGTCACAACAAGGCTTAACAGATCTAGCATGCCTGATGGAGAAATGGATGCAGATGGTGTATGTGTGTACAGCTGGCTACATCTGTAGGTTCATATAATCCGACACAATACCACCATTGTAACCTGATGTCATTCCGTGTCAGCTGGTGTTTCATGTGGTGGTTTTATTCAAAATAATTTAGCCAGGTGACATCAAGCAAATGCTTCACTGAATAAACAGAATAAGTATCGTTGTTAGAAATGATTAAGTTGTAATATGACAATCTTTCTATGTTAGAACCTGAGTAATATTACAGCAATATCATGGCAAAGAACATCACCAGTGGTACAACACACTGACAAGGGGTAACAAGCCATGACACTGTGTACCTATCTAATAGGACACTGGGTAACAAGCCATGACACTGTGTACCTATCTACTAGGACACTGGGTAACAAGCCATGACACTGTGTACCTATCTACTAGGACACTGGGTAACAAGCCATGACACTGTGTACCTATCTACTAGGACACTGGGTAACAAGCCATGATACAGTGTACCTATCTACTAGGACACTGGGTAACAAGCCATGACACTGTGTACCTATCTACTAGGACACTGGGTAACAAGCCATGACACTGTGTACCTATCTACTAGGACACTGGGCCATGACACTGTGTAATCTACTATGACACTGTGTACAAGCCATGACACTGTGTACCTATCTACTAGGACACTGGGTAACAAGCCATGACACTGTGTACCTATCTACTAGGACACTGGGTAACAAGCCATGACACTGTGTACCTATCTACTAGGACACTGGGTAACAAGCCATGACACTGTGTACCTATCTACTAGGACACTGGGTAACAAGCCATGACACTGTGTACCTATCTACTAGGACACTGGGTAACAAGCCATGACACTGTGTACCTACCTATCTACTAGGACACTGGGTAACAAGCCATGATACTGTGTACCTATCTACTAGGACACTGGGTAACAAGCCATGACTAGGACACTGTAACAAGCCATGACACTATGTACCTATCTACTAGGACACTGGGTAACAAGCCATGACACTGTGTACCTATCTACTAGGACACTGGGTAACAAGCCATGACACTGTGTACCTATCTACTAGGACACTGGGTAACAAGCCATGACACTGTGTACCTATCTACTAGGACACTGGGTAACAAGCCATGACACTGTGTACCATCTTATCTACTAGGACACTGGGTAACAAGCCATGACACTGTGTACCTATCTACTAGGACACTGGGTAACAAGCCATGACACTGTGTACCTATCTACTAGGACACTGGGTAACAAGCCATGACACTGTGTACCTATCTACTATCTACTGGGTAACAAGCCATGACACTGTGTAACAAGCCATGAGCCATGACTGTGTACCTATCTACTAGGACACTGGGTAACAAGCCATGACACTGTGTACCTATCTACTAGGACACTGGGTAACAAGCCATGACACTGTGTACCTATCTACTAGGACACTGGGTAACAAGCCATGACACTGTGTACCTATCTACTAGGACACTCGGTAACAAGCCATGACACTGTGTAGGGACAGTGGGTAACAGGCCAGCTCAAATAATGTAAAGCTGTAATGTGAACAGGCATGGCAAGTAAGTGAGTGAGTCAGATTTAAGGGTGCTTCAAGCAGTACTTATGCAATGGCTAAACAAAATAGTTAATGTATAACACAAATTGCAAACATTTCAGTATCTATACTGCTTTCACTTTTATCTAATATTTTAATACTTACAGGATGAAATTATCTGTAGCATCTTCAAATGTCTGAAACAAATAGAAAAAGATTTAACAATCTACACAAATAACCATCATAGTAATCAATCAAAGACAATACGTGTATGCGAGGTGGCCTACCATCTCTTATATGTGAAGTGGGTTTGCTCCACAGTACTATGTGAAGAAATTGTCCCTTATCAATTTAATCACTGTGATGAGCCAAAACATAATGACATAATAAATAATAATTAGAAGTTCAAAGTAAGAATGTCATTGTTTACTTATTTGATATGCCTGTATTAATATGACTAAATAAGTCTCCGGTGATTATTACTGTGATGCGATGTGTGAAACGACATGTGATACAATATGTAATACGATGCATGATACGATGTCACCCAACATGCAAAATCAGAGATGTTCTTGGCCAGACATAATGTTGACAAACAAGTCATTCAATGTTAGGTGGTAATGTGATGAATTCATTCAGATCAAAGTACAGTTTACAGCTAGGTATTCATGTTAATACTGTCCTTTATTATGATACTGTTCACAATTCACTAGTAGCAGGGAATGCACATAATGAACAACAGCACTTTTTGTGCATATCTGAAACACAAATGTCTCATTGATGACCGGCACATCGTGAGTGATCAATCATATATACAAACTTTTTTAATTTTTAAAAATAATAATTTATATTCATCTTTTTTTTAGGTACAAAACCATGACATCAAGTAACAGTCAAATATACAGAGTTTGGCAAGCATATTATAACAAATGACATTGTAGGGAAATACCCGGTCGGTTGTACGTTAGTATTAATCAAACAATTGGTGACAATCAGACCAAAATCCAACAAATTTGGTAAAATTACAAGAAGAGATGGCATGTGTTCTCTCGATATTGTAAACTTTACTTATTTCATTTCTGATCGTATCGAAACTTGGTGTACAAGTATATATTCCTATTTTAAAAAGAGTAAATTTGACAACTGTTATCAGGAGATTAAGGACATCCTTCCTTTTATCAGAGAATCCAAATAAGATTTTCTTCTTATCAATATTCAATGTGATATCTGTTTTTGTTCTTATCCAATTGGAAAATTGATTCCATATGTTTTAGATTTTTGACAATCGTAAAAGAGATGAATTCCGCTTTCTGGTGCATTTTTATAAAATGAGCATAACTTACTCTCTACATACCCCATCTTAAACAAAATCTTTTGTTTAAGATATATACAAACTGCTATGAAATACATCAGGCTAGCTGTAAAGTTTCAGTAAAGTTAAACTTTTCGTAAATTATTGATTATATTATTATTAAAAGTAATATCATGGGTTTTGCATCAACAAACACTCGATGCATGTAAATATTATACTACCAAATATAACAGTACCTGGATATAAATAAAATGTATTTCCATTTATTAAATATCATAAATAATATCATGGTTTCAGCATCAACATGATCAACAAACACTTGATGTATGTGAATTTTATGCTGCCACCGTAAATGACACTGCTTGGTCAAATACAATCTATTTCACATTTTCAGGTCAGAATGTAGACAGAAAACTTGACAGGGTACGTCCCAGAATTTACAATACTTTTAATAACAATTGTGTTTTCTCATCAACATCAGTGACTCATTTAACATTTACTGAGGGCCTTACAGTTGAATCTAACAATTTAGATGGCTGTATGTGTCTTCTCTTTGTGATTAAGCTGACCGTAAACATATTTTGACTTTTGATTTATCTGATATGCTATGTTCTTGAACAGACCAATATTTTGTTACATCAGCAAAAGTTATTCTTTCAAACTATGTCAGTGTTTCAAAATGTTCATCTTTATATCAAATGAACCAATCACATATATAGATATATAACAGAAATACCAATATGCAATAGTCATGGAATAAATTAGTATTAACAAAAATGGTATCATTATTATCGAACTGACCCATCGTATATCTGCAGAATCAGTTTAGAGATTTTGTATAGCACACGCACGCACGCACGCACAACACACACACACACACACACACACACACACATATCCTCTTCAGCTTGCATAGGTAGGCAATTCTGCCTGTAGCTGATCCTGGCTCTCATCCTCGATGTTACCGTCGTTGTCTTGGTAGCTGGTAGGGACTGTTGTGGTGATAGGTGACAAGTCCAGTTTGTACCTGTAGCTCTTCCAATGCTTGTCCAGTCTTCCCTTCCCAGGCTTCTGCTACTTGCTTTCGGTAGAGTGTTCCAAATCCTTGGTGCGCGAAAAGTGAAGAAGTTCAGCCTCATGATGTTTTGCATTGCTTCAGTTCTATTCTGTAGCTGTGCCCTCTTGTTGACATTGACTTCTTCTTTTGGAGTATCTTCCATGGGTGAGTTTGTACATTTCCATCATGTCGCCTCTCAGCCTTCTGTATCTCAGGCTAGGGATGTGTAGTTTTGCCAGTCTTTCCTCGTAGGTTAGGTCCCTTAGGTGTGGCAGCATCCTCGTCTCTCTTCTTTGTACGCTCTCTGTTAGGTCTTTGACTTTTTCAAATCTAGGAGACCATGCTGAATTTGCATATTCAAGATGCGGACGCACAAGTGATGTAAAAAGTGTCCGTAGTGAAGACTCGTCAAGGTAATCGTAGGATCTCTGTATCAGTCCTAGAATTCTGTTTGCCGTGTTTACTTGGATTTCGACGTGCTTAGAAAATTTCAGTTCAGAGTCCATGTTAACACCAAGATCCTTCTCCAGTTCTGTAGCCTCTAGATCAACATCACCGTCCGGACTTGGCATGGAATATGCATGCCTGTGATTTTATTTCCCCATGTGAAGTGATTAGCATTTGCCTGCGTTGAAGCGTAGTTGCCAATCAGATGACCAGTTGGATAGACTTACTAAGTCCTTTTGTAGAATTGTGCTTCTGTTTGGTGATTACACACTGTACATTTTGGTGGCGTCCGCAAACATATGGGAATTCGATTGAATTACATCTGGAAGGTCGTTTACGTAAATAATGAAGAGAACTGGGCCGAGTACACTTCCTTGGGGAACTCCGCTGGAGACTGCATTCCACGATGAGGTTTCGCCGTTCACTTTAACACACTGACGTCTTGTGTCCAGGAAGGAAGCTGTCCATTTCAACAGGTTTCCCTTTATACCGTATCCTTCCATTTTCCTGATTACTCTAGCATGGGGAACAGTGTCGAATGCTTTTGCAAAGTCCAAGTAAATTGCATCCACAGTTTTTCCAGTCTAACAGTTCAGTCCAATCATCTAGAGCGGATAACAGATTGGTGACACATGATCGCCCCTGCACAAATCCATGTTGGTTTGAAGATATTAGCTTGTTGCTTTCTAGGTGTTCCATAATAGCTTCCCTGACGATAGACTCCATGGTTTTGCATACAACACTAGTCAAGCTTACAGTGCGGTAGTTACCTGATGAATCCCTACAGCCTTTCTTGAAGAGTGGTGTCACACATGCGTCTTTCCAGTCGTGCGGACCCTTGCATTCCTCCATTGACTTGGTGAACAGTATCTGTAGTGACTTGCAGATTACTGGTGCCGTTTCTTTCAACACTAAAGGGGTGTATGCCGTCAAGTCCTGGTGATTTATTCTGTTTTAAGGATTTCAGCTTTTTCTTAATAATGTCCTCAGAGAAAACACAGGACAGCGTGGATGCTCCTTTGCTTCTGTCTTGGAAGTTTGGTATGTTTTCCTTGTTTTCTATTGTGAAGACACTTGTGAAGAATTGATTCAGCGTGCTAGCTTTTTCCTTGTCTGTAGTGGATGTTGTTCCGTCTGTATTTGTCAAATCTGCTACAGCTTCTCTTGTTTTCATTTTGCTGTTTGTATATGCATAGAAGGCTTTTGGATTGTCTTTTACTTCCATGGCTAGCTTCTGTTCAAAACTTCTCTTAGCCTGCCTGCACATTTTCTTGACACTATTTCTGGCTCTAGCATATTCCCTGTAGTCAGACTCTTTCCCGAAGCTCTATACCGGGAATATGCTCTGTTTTTCTCCATTGTTGCTCTATACGTTTCTTTGCACATCCAATTTTTATTTCTAGTTCCTGGATTTGCTCTAACTTGCGGGATATGACTCTCCATTGCCAGGGATATCTTGTCCTTGAAAAACTTCCAAGCTCCCCCGGTGTCCAGATCCTTCATCTCCTCTCCCCACTTTATTTCCTGCAACTGCGTCATAGTCGCCTTTTAGTACCTTGTACGTTCTGTTTCTGTATTGTGTCTTTCTAGATTTTGTACTGCATTTGTAGTGGAACTTCAGAACTTGATGATGGCTCTTCCCCACTGACACTGTTTGCCAGTCAATGATCCGAAGAGTAAGACATCACAAGCAGGCCAAACAGACATGTATGATCCTAAGGGAAAGACATTAGTTGCCAATGAAACACTTCCCTATGATCCTTATCATTAGAGACAACTTGCCAATCAAACACAGCTTTGATACTTATGGCCAGTCACTCTTTCCTGATACTTGGAGTGAGTTGTGCGGGTATCAGTCTCACCATTTCAAAGAAAGGTTCCGAAATCCAAAGTTACTGGCAGTAAATCCCATGGTGGTGACCATAATATGTCTATATTAATGAACATGTATGTTCATAAGATGCTAATCACTCTGTCATCATGTGTGACAGACCAAGTGGTCTCGTGGGAAGTAGACTAATGCTTAGTCTCTGAATACAAATAATTTTGACAGTAACAAACAAACCCATTTAAATTGAAAAGGGGCCCAAGGCAGATCAGAGGAGGAAATATAGACTTGCTTCATTTAGGGCTTTAGCACTGCAGAGAGGGCTAGGCAGTAGGGAAAATAATGTGATTCAGGGACTGTGAGACAGACTACGTAGGAAGTTGCTGGTATGAAAATTGTGTAAACGATAAAGTTGTAAATAAACTGTTGTGATGAAATAATTTTAAACTTACTCAGAAAACACCAGAAGTCCTGTTGGAAATAGAAAAAACCCTGTTTTTAGGCTGTTACTCTGTATCCCTATAATTTACACACCTGCAAGTAGTATATGTCGAAATAAACCACTTCGGCCTAACTTGGCATTCAGTGGGATGCGTGAAAGTATATCCAGAAAGCATGTTTCAGTGGGATCGGGCAAAACTTAGAAGTATATCCAGAAAAGCATGTTTACTCATAAAATCGATGTACCAAAACAAGGGGTCATCTCAAAGAATATGAATGATTGCTACGGTCTTTCTTCCATAAAAAAGAGATATGTAAAAGAGATCATGCCTATAGATAGCAATTAAATGTCTCAAAAGCTATAGGTGGCATGACCACCCATAGGTGAAGACTGGATGTATTTGTAAATTGGCACAGTATAATTCCCCCAAAGGATTATCTTATCTTCATCTCCAACCCCAACCAAAGATACACCCGCCCTGGTTTTGCTTTTGATGTGACCCCTCCTATTTGTCTCTTTTATAGTTGACATCTTCAGCATGAAAGTAATATTTTTCTTTCAGCTTCGTATATAATAAAAGGTAAAGTCTAATTTCAAAATGGGCATTAAAAAGTGTCCTTTGTAATAAAATATGGAGCACCTTTAGAATACAGCACCACAACTTTCGTGAAGCATCGATCTGCCGTTAAGCTGTCATTAAGACAAGCAACCAGTTTGTGAGAACCCGTCGGACGCTGAACCCGCGTTATCTTCGATTGTTAGCTCGACAGCCATACCGACTGAGCTACGTCCACACTGTTGCACAATGTGCAAATTTATCGAGTCATTCCTGTGACGCCACGGAAATGAAGCGGAAAGAGTCGAATAGGTCACGGACAATTACTAATACTACCGGGTAGACTTGGTGTCTCGCGTGATTTTATTCTCCGGACAATTGTCGAATGGATCCGATGCCATTTGGCACACTCGTCCCATTCCGTAATCTACAAATTAACGTGTGGCGTGGAATGAGCCGATATGCCTCAAACTGAAAAGGGTTGTTGACGTCGAGCGTCAGGCGTAGATTTCACGGTGCATGCATGAATGGCTGGCTTTTATATAAATCGGGTGATTTTGTGACAGAAAAGTGATGTAGGGAACACTGTAAGGATAATGTGGATCGCACTAAGGAACGAGGGAGACATGAGCATGTGTAGTGACGCACTTTCGGGTGAGTTAGCCTCGAATCATTACTTTACAAAATTTATGTTTGCGTGTGAAAGAGGCTTGAGTGCAAATTCCAGACCAATTTCCATTAGCCCAAAATTTCTACATTAACCCATTTCATAATGTACTTTCGGACGTTTTTGGTTTCCCGTTTTGTGTGAAAAAAGTATTAAAATGCAAAAGGAAAAACAACAAATGGTACTCACGTATTACACGGTCATGTACCTGCTATATTGGATTAGGTCCTAACCCTAACCCTAAACCCTAAACCCTAAACCCTCAGCCCTAACCCTAACCCTAACCCTAGCCCTAACCCTAACCCCAATCCCTTGAATTAATCCGCTGTATTCTAAAGGTAGGCCTAAAATATCATCGCACACTAATTTGCATAAAGCCATGGTGTGTTCCAAATAAGTCGCTTTGGACTCTAAAAAACCCGCATTGATCATTTCTGCACTAATCTCTCCTCAGTAAAGTCCTTTTTTAACATTTCCTATCTCCCTACCACTACCATAAATTGTAGAGATAAATGTGAAAAGACAGTTTTTTTCTATTTCCGACAGTACTTTAGGTCTTTATTCATGGGTGGCTCCTAGAGTATGTTCACAATGACATTTTGTTGGTAATCTAAGCCTACATATGTCAGCACTCACTACTGACATGAAATGTGTTGATTTCATTCAGATGTTTTAGTAATTTTTGCTGAAAAGTACTTCTCCTATAGTTCTCAATAATCAGTAATTAGAGACAGAAGAGCAAATATTTCAAAAGCATCCAAAACATATTTAACTTAGATACTTTTACATGAACATATATGCATTGATATGCCATGCCACACAAAAAGACGTACATCAAGATAAATTGGACAAGGCATTGATATAAAATATTTGTAGCTGATTAAGAATAAACAGATGACATTGACAATCACCATGAAATGTGCATATTTTGCATGATTTTTGTCAAACGTATAGCTGGCGTGAGTGGGGTGGGGGTGGTGGTTGGGTAGGGGGAGGGTCGAGGAGGGCTGTTGCTCCTCTACCCTTCCTCTCCTAGAAACTGTAAGAGACAGCTACCATGCAAGTACGAATATACTTGCAAAACTGTTATAGATCACTAAGCAACATGACTGATACGTTGCACATAATCTAAGCTGTTGCTTTTTATTCGTGATGTTGTTTTCGATTCTCCGTTGACAACAATTGTTTCGTTGGTGACAGCCCCAGTCGATAGCTGTCAGACAACACGACTGCTGTCAGTTACAAAACAGAGTGAAAGTTGACAGATCATAGCATCCCAAGATCATCTCTGGTGCATCACAATTAGATACGGAAAAGTCAAAATACAAATCAGTTTAGATTCGGTGTACTAACCTCTTCCTCATTTTCACTCATCCCGCCTGCGTCGACTTCTTGAGCGGCCATCGCTGTCATATAGGTACAAACCAAAGTCTCAAGTTACGTCTATATGTATTTCTCGTGTTTGCGTGCTTATCTAATGGTATACTAATAAATAAGCTATTCTTATATAAGCGTCTATCTTCCTAGCATGTTTTCATTTAATTTTAAACAAGACAAGACGGACATAATTAAATATTTACTCAACATGTGTGTTTGGTTGGAGAATATACAATGATTCTATCTCTAAATCCAAAGAGCTTCGACCTAAAATCCGGAACACATAATGGGGCGATCCAAAAGTCAACTGCACGATAGGCGCTCAAAACAAATTACAAACGAATATGGACTTGGAAATAAAATTAATAAATAACACATTAAGTCAGAAGTAAAAAGGTAAACAAGAAACATGGAAAGCGATGCTAATTTATAATTGATACTAGTTTATCTCAAATATCTTTTTTCGAAGTTACAGTGTAGGTTAGAGTAATAAAAGTTTTAGTGCTTTCCCCGCTAATTATGTTTAATATTTCATGTACTGTAAAGCAATTTCTTTGGATTAAAATTATTGATAAATTATAACCACAGTGCTGCTTTTGTATTACAGCATTTACATAAAGATTGTTTATATATCTAAATCTTATTCACATGTTCTCTTCATGCAGAAAACTATCCGGGTACAATACTGTTTTGATAAGACTGTGAAGTTCCTGTATTTATATGTCACTACAGTTAATCTTTAATTGTTCTAACTGATTTAATTAGTAACAACAAAAAGATACCTGTGCATTTCTTGTGGGGAGTTCGCCCACAGATCTCGATAAACGTACGGTGAATCAACATAAATCAGGGTTTCTTAGAGGAAATTAAGGTACTTTTCAAAATTATTTCATATTACTTCTAATCTATAGGGGGAAAAAACCCTGAATCTCGTTGAAGTTCGCTTAAAATGTATTTCGTTTTTTCAGTTTATAGCACGTAAAACAAGTAATCAGTTCCCGCTGCATCCATGTTCGTTTCAGGATGATCATCCAAGTTTTGATACATTACAAATAGCGTATGGAAGAGTCCGGTTGATTGGTCCGTCAGTAAGCCGGTTTTACGTCGTGACACGACCAGTGAATATTGAAAAGGGCTTCAATGAATGTCCGAACATTTTTCATCTAGTGTAAAGGGCCACCCGTAGTTGTTTTTAACAAAACACTAACCATGTCAACCGTAGGAACTAATAATGTCAACGACCCCAGGAGACCAAATAAGATTGTGAGGTAAATGAAACCCTGACTATGATATTGGGCGATGTCCATCTGTATCATGTGCATGTGCCCTGGTACTGCTACTACGGTGTTCAATGCATGATTATTAACTTGGTCTAGTCATACTAACAAACAGTTGGAGCTATGTTTCTCTTTTTATTTCGAGTTTATGGTCTGCTTTTATTTTCAGTTCATAACCATCTGTTTGCAATTGAATTCCACTTTGGTAAATTCATTCTCTTGTAGACATAATGATACTAATGATCTTCTTAGAATCCTCATGACCAGTGAAGTTAAAACTTGAAATAACACTAATGATACATGATAATGTTCCAAACATATGAATAAGATTTTCAGTACCTCAGTGGGGCCACTAAACATACATACGGCCCAGATTTTAGGACAAAATTTACCCATGTTAACAGTTGTGTACAGCAGATGTTGAATATCTAAGCAAATTGTAGAAATTAAGTTATATGTTTCACATTTGTTAATATTTTCACCTCAGTGTTCTTAAAAGCAATTAAGGACTTCCTAAACATGTTTAAAGGGACAGTGCATCAATTGTTGTATACATGCCTGATTCTCAAAGCAAATTGTTGCATAGAGCTCTAAATGGCAAAACTCGATAGGTTAACAGAGTAGACTGGTTGCAGTCATCGTCCTAGAGGAGGCGAATTGAAGAGAAAACTGTTTATCTTTTCTTGCTTATGGACAAGTTGCAAAATACTAACTAAATGCTAAGATAAGAAGCCAGTGTTATCATGGTTATCATCTATTCATCAGGGCCTAGATTTTCGAAGCTCTTTTAGTCTTAGCGCTAAGATAGTCATAAGTTAATGTTAATGTATGGTACTTACGACTATCTTAGCGTTAAGAGAGCTTCGAAAATAAAGGCTCAGGTTACCATTTCTTCATGTTTATCACTTTGCTTACGTTCAGATACAAGCCCCCTGCATCAGGAACTCCATCAGAAGATCCTACACCGGACTACATGAACCTGTTGGGCATGATCTTCAGCATGTGTGGACTCATGATGAAGGTAATGGACTCGTGGCAAGTTGAGCCTTCAGCCCATTTGGCATCAGGGGAAGAGTCTGGCTCCCAAGTAGTGTGAAGAGCCCTGTGACAAGATTGTATGTCGACATGCCCTGATTGTGTTGAACATTGCTCGTGCTGTCAATCGCTGATTGTCTCGTAAAGGAGGATTAGTGTTTTCAAGTTGTTTTGAAATCAGTTGATATTTGTTTACAACAATTCAAGATAATAAACATATGTTCACATTCCTCTTTATTTGGTACATATAGCCTGTTTAATCCATTCAGACTTCTGTTACTTAAACTTGTGTATACTCAATATAAATCATTTTCTTTTTTTCTTAACTTACTTTATTGTGAATTCCAAGTTTGATTGGGTTCCCAGGAACCTTTGCTCATTGCTAGCTGTAAGAAATGACATACATGCTACATATAGACTTGACTTGTTGGTTGCACTTCATCTTATCCCAACGACCGCCTCCGTGGTGTAGTGGTTAGAGCGTCCGCCCGGAGAGCGGAAGGTCGCGGGTTCGATCCCCGACCGCGTCATACCAAAAAGACGTTCAAATATGATACTTGTTGGTCCCTGCCTGGCACTCGTCATTAATGGGTACAACAAGGACTGGTCGGCTTGGAGTCAGTATAATGTGTCTGAGTGGGGTATTCATGCTTCACTGCGGCATGGTATCTCAGTGGGCTAGCACTATAAAACCAGCTTAAGTCTGGGCTAGTACAAGTAACCGCACATACACATGCATGCACGTCGTCATATGAGCGAAATATTCTCAAGCACGACGTAAAACCCAATTTTACCTCACCTCTTATCCCAACAGGGGTGGTGGGGTAGCCTGGTGGGTAAAGTGTTCTCTCGTCACGCCAAAGGCCAAGGTTCGATTCTCCACATGGGTACAATGTGTGAAGCCCATTTCTGTTGTCCCCTGTTGTGATATTGCTAAAAGCAGTGTAAACTTCAGTCACTCACTCTTATCTTAACAGTAAGAGGTTGCTCACAGTGTCAGTCATTGGCTTGTCTGGTCCATACTTGAGTATTTGCAGGTAGCTGCTGTATAGGTGGCATATATATAATGACTCAGAGATGCCAACCACTCCGATTTTGGAGGAGTTACTCCGATTTTCAAATACAAAATCCACTCTCTGATTTGTCTTTAAGAAACTCTGATTTTTTAGAAAATACAAATATGTTAATAAATTTAGAATGTTTGAAAGAATTTTAGTAAATATGTTCGTTTGATTTAAGAATTATCTGGTTAAGTATGCCCAGAAATTGCATATTTCCAGGCTAAATCTAAAGATTTCATAGGGGAGGCCCCCAGGCTAAATCAAAGATTTCATAGGGGAACCCCCCAGATCCCCATCGTCAAACGGGGAATTGGTTTTAGCAAGGCAGGACTCCGCTTTCATTGATTCAGGGTTGGCATCTCTACAATGTTATGGAATGTGTATTGATGCAAGTTTTGTAACCACTTTCAGCTGAAATGGTGTGCCTGGGTTGCAGTGTATTGTTCCTTCATCAGTTTTGCCAACTCTCGGACGTCTGAAGATACAAAACAAATGTTGAGCAGTTTTATGTAAGTATTGTTGTGAATATGAAATGCATATTTAGAAGATATTAGAGTTGATTTAATATGAAGTAACCTGTGCCAATACATTTTTGTAAAACTGAACACAATGTACATTTCAGAAGATAGATAGGCATCCTTGTTATTAAAGTATGTTTCTCACATGTTAGAACATCATATACTTTGTTAATGTTGTTTGGGGTCATTTTTAATTAAGTAAACCATAGATTTGTGCTGTTTCTGCAGTGTGAAGTTTGAGGATAACAGATATGGAGACCATTCAGAAATGTGTCTTTTTCAGTTCAGCAGCAATTTGTATCACTGGTCAACAGTCACTGAAGCATGCTTAAGTACCCTGTGTACTGATGGTACCAGTCAGTGTCCTTGTAGGTTTTGATGGATTCCTTTGACCCGTGAAGATTCGGGTTAGAATTGGTCTTCAGTAACCCATGCTTGTTATAAAAGACGACTAACAGGATTGGACTGGTCATGCTCGCTGACATGTCATCATATCCCAGTTGCTTAGATCGATGCTCATGCTGTTGATCACTGGATTGTTTGGTCCAGACCCAAGCCATGTTGCTGGATATTGCTGGGTGTGGCATTTAACACCAACCAAACCAACCGACTGATTCTTCACCAAACTTTGTTAGATTAACATGGCCAGTGATGTTGTGAACCCATTTCAGGTTGTCAATATCGGCAGTTGTGATGTCCTACCTCCAGAATCCACAGCCCATGCAGCCCCCATGGTGAAGTCTGCACAAGATACCACTCCATTATCCAATGTACATTTTCATCCCAGTGTCTGCATACTCAGATGTCATTACAGACCCCGTCAGTGTACAACACAAGCCCATAATACACAAGATACAACCGTATGATACCAAGATAGAAACCAACCCTACATATTTTTATGTTAGACTTTTTGTATCCCTGTCAGTAGGTGAAATGTCATTTCGATTTAAAGCTATATGCTGGTCATTTTCTGCGGAATGCTGACAGATGTATGTTATTTTGTACCAGTGAGTCTTCATCACTGTTTGATCTACTGACTATAAGTCCTGGGCCTAGATTTTCAGCTCTCTTAGTGTTAAGATAGTCATAAGTTAATGTTAAGGTATAGCACTTACGACTATCTTAGCGCTAAGAGAGCTTCGAAAATCTAGGCCCTGGTGTGATGCAATGTGTATTTATTTAAGTTAATTTAAGTGATACATAAACAGATAATTAATACTTTCAGGAATCTAGATTTGTAATTTAATGTTTTGATAATTTTGAACATCCTGACATTCATGACTGATGTGTTTGATTTCTAATTCCATATAGTGTCAGTAAAAGTATTATTCACCATATTTTCAGTGTCAGTCTTTGTGAATCAAGAGGTAAATTAGGTTTGTGAATGTTTACATCAAGTTACAGTAGAAGTAAGATACTGCCTTGTATTGACTCCATTGTTTCATAATATTGTCTGTTTCTGTGAAAGAAGGTATACTTGTGTGGATGTCTCTGCCTAAAAATGCCAGTATGAATGGTTTCCCTTTGGAGTAGTTTTCTGTGTGAGAGACATTCTTTGGTGTATCGACTGAACAAATGGAATGTATTTTTGGCATTGCAGGCTATAAATCCTGAGACAAGACATCCCGTAAAGAACTATTCTTTTATGTTTGAATTGAATTAGTCTTTGTGATGGTATGTAAATTTGAAGATTGTAAAGGAATCAGGGTTAATATTTTGTCAATTCATGAGAAGGAAATAAAGGTTTTAAGTCTTGATGATGTATGAGTGATGTTTGTATTGTGATGAGCATTATATAACTGGTGGGGATCTTAGCATTACTGATTACATAGATGCATTATTCAGTGCTATTTTAGGAATAAGGTACAATATTTGTTGTGGAGAGTTAACTACCAATATGTATGCCAATTACCAATGATTGTGGGTATGAATCCTATATTCTCCTACATTGTTTTAGGTTTGTGTGCACCATACAAACCAAAGTGGTGAAAAGACCTGTATTGACATCATTATTATACATGTCCAAGATATTTTTATGGATTAAACTTCTTTATAATTTCCCTCACAACGATTCGAGACCATTCCAGGTCCCTTCATCAGGTGAACTGGGACCTGGAATGGTCTCGAAACGTCGTGAGGGAAATCATAAAGAAGTTTAATCCATAAAAATATCTTGGACATCAATGTACAACTTCTAAATGCCACTGAAAGACATCATTATTATACATATTTCTAGGATTACACCATTGGAATAAATAATGTTTTATGGCTGTAAATGCACAAAACATATTCTCAGAATTTTCAAAAGAAGTCCACTTCTGTTGGGCTGTTACTTACCACAAGCCTTGGTAATGATTCAACATTACAGAACCATGAGGTATAGAGAAGTATCCAGACTGTAATGTCACAAAAGGCGCATGGAGATCTGGTTTAGAATAGGTCTTCAGCAACCCATGTTCTTCACAAGAGTTGACAAATCAGAGTGGGCGGTCCGCCTTGCTGACTTGGTTGTTGCACATCATTGTATACCAGCTGCATAGATCGGTTCTCATGATGTCAAACAAACATATCTTGATCATTTACAAACAGACCACCGTCATGTAGCTGGAATATTGTTCGGTGCTGGGTCGGACGAACACTTCATATTTTCCTCCAGTCAAGAAAAACAACATCAGCATTATTTCAAATTTTATTTGATTTGTGCAAGTCGGACATGAACTCCGGCAATGCATGAAGACATGTATGCTCCACACAGTACACACACAGGTCAGATAAGCACACCAACAGTTGGCCATCGCCAGACATTTATACATATGTGGTTAAGCTCTGTACACTGGGTTCAAAACATAACTGCAGACAGTGTGGTAAATCTCAAACAATAAATGTAGACTATGGCTCTTAAATAACTTCACATGTAATGCCTATCAAATAATACAGACAGACAGGACAACACATTTAATACACAATTTACTTCACAATCTGTGACATTAACAGAAAATAGTGTAATTATGGCTTATGCTTACAATACCATGAACTAATTATCTTAACCAATTTAGCTGCAAAAATTGTCATTTGGGGGCAAGCACACTGTTCAACATCTGTTAATGACATCCCTTTAGAATTTTAATGATATTATCAAACCCATTAAATGGACAATCATTTGATTCCATGACAACCACGCAGCCAAACTGTGATACATACCATAGTCGTGTTGTCTTTCTAAATATCATGAATATACCATCTTGGGTAATATTTGAATGTGAATGTGAGAAGTAATCATTTATCCAATTAGTTATGAGTGAATAAGTGAGTTGGGTCTAACACTGCTTTTGATCAGCATTCCAGGTGTATCCCAGTATGTCAGCTGAAGTGATGCAGGTCTCCGACGTTTACCACTTTAGCTGGATCAATGAGCACCGGTATGGTACAAATACACCTAAAACTAAACCTGGACGAACCAACATCCAAACTCACAATCATAGGTCTCTGGCATGCACAAGGGATGCAACTGTGTACAGCAAATTATGGTGAATTGGTTGGAATATTGTTTAACGCCACACTCTGCAATATTCCAGCTGTATGGCAGCAGTCTGTAAATAATCAAATTTGAACCAGACAACCCAGTGATCAACAGCATGAGCATCGATCGACGCAATTGGGATACGATGACGTGTGTCTACCAGGTCCACCCAATCCTGTTAGTTGCCTCTTACGACAAGCATGGGTTGCTGAAGACAATTCTAACCAGGATCTTCATGGGTTATGGTGATGTATTCCGCTGTTATACTTATAACAAGTTTAAACATACCTGTACCAGTACTTGTGTAAGAAAGGTTTTCCATCAAATCCAATTAAAACCAAATACACCAGGGGAACAGGTAGTCTAAGGTTCCAGTTTGCTGAGTTGTGTCCCTTCTTGGACCGAGGATCTGCTAATCATGGATTCTTCCCCAGCATCAAAGTGGCAACTCATGATCTGACTGAAACTCTGCTCAAAAGCATCAGTAAACCCAGTTCACTCAGTAAACAAAGATACCAGTACTCCAGTGAAGAAGTTCCAACTTTAAACGTCTCAGATATTTTAAACTAGTTTAAAAAACTAATCTTTAGTCAGATATTTAATCATTGCCTACAATGAGCTTTCTTTGTGTGGTGTAGTATTGTTTTCCTATGTCTTCTACAGAGAAGCACTGACAGGGGCATCATGCAGAAAACAACGGTCGAACACCATCACTGTAATAACTGCACTTGTTTATAATGGACAGATTGATCAGCTTCTTTGTGTACAAGATCAGGAAGATCAAGACGAGATACCATCCCAAATCAAATGTCGACCTCTGAATTTAAAAAATGGGCTTTTTCGGTCATTTTGTATCTGTGTATTCATTTTTAGGTCATCTTTTGAAAATGAAATTCAAATATGTACCACGAAAAAGAAGAAGGTATAAATGATAAATGTTTTCATTTTGATATTCACACGCTGGATATATTGACAATTTTGACATACACATATTTGATCAGTTTTATCATTTTGAGTTGGACTGTAAAAAATATATATTTGGCATATAATCAATATATTATTTGCAAATTTTATGAACATACATCAGGAATTATCACAATTCTGTCATTGTTCTCCAATCATGTCTGGCACTGACTCATCTAGCTTGTCACATTTCCAACAATTGCATGACTGATGCATTTTGCCATACAACTAATCACAATAAGACACTATTAATTCTGCAACTACTCACAGAGAAAAGTCCAAGATATCAACACAATTCACTAACTTCACTATATACAGCAACAGGGAAGGGCATCTATACAGCATTTAACTATATACAGTGGGAATGTAGAACCTAGAAAACACACTTAAGTGACAGCCTGATCCATGAGAACAAGAAACTACTTGTACAAACAGTTTTGCAGCTAATATTATACATCAGCATTGAGAGCACTCAAATTCACACTACTTGCACAAACAGTTTAGCAGCTAATATAATATATCACAATCAAGAGCACACAAATTCATACTACTTGCACAAACAGTTTAGCAGCTAATATAATACATCAGGATTGAGAACATACAAATTCATTCAATGTAAATCCAATCCTAAACATGAATAATGGATACATCTTGTCAACAGAACATTTACAAACACAATACAATGCAGCCTTTACAATGCTGTCACTTCTTGAAGTGATACTTTTACAAATTTAACACATCTCATGAAATAAGGACTACCCAGGTCAAAACTGTATCCCCTTTTTGTATTTGGAAATGTAAATTCCTGTAAAAGGATGTTTTTAGAGATCTATCTGAACCTATCTGAAAGAAAATATCACATTTGGCATACCTCACAAATTTTGATTGGATCAATTACATCTGTGCAATCAATTTGATTGGCTATAGAGATGTGTCAAAAGTTATTACATCAATGCTAAGAATAATTTATGCTTTTAGTAAGCATGTTAAAAAAAAGCACTTAAGGGGGGAAATTGGGATAAAAAAACATTCAGCATGTTCATTGTATTATTATCTTTTAAATCATCAATACAAGTTCTCTGGCATTATGATAGAACATGTGCTTCCTGAGCCACGTTCAATAAAGCAATCTTGGTGCTGCAAATACCATGAGCCAATGCCAAAGTACAGATTTACTTTAAAAAAATACACGTTGGTAGTAGATATAAGTAGATCTAAGGTCGCTTGTGGAACTGGCCCTGGAGACAAGGTAATCCATATTTATCCAATGCAACAAAAATAAAAGGCAAAACTAGTGGTATTCTGTCAGCACAGCCTACAAACAAAACAAACATTATTGCATGTTACTTGAAGCACATCGGTGCAGGCAACACATAGTGATATTATCTTACACTAATATACATAGGTTCATAATAACACATAGTGGTGGGGCTCGGCCCCAGCTTAGGTGCTGTGTATTTACAGGGCATCATAAATTAACAAAAATATACACAAATACAAATATATGGGGAAAGTAGGGAATAACTCAACAATAACGCATAAATATAAGTTACAGAAACAAATTCAGACAAATAAACTGACAGCTGAAAAGAATAAGTTACTTCAATAATGCTGAGCAGGATTGTGAAGAGGATTACTTCTTTGTGTGGCATTTTAGAAGTTGGGAAGTACAAAATAGGAAAAACTTTATAGATAACAACTTCCTTTATTTCGTGAGTGCTAGTAAATAAATAGGTTATTAGCCCTCACGAAATAACAGAAGTTGTTATCCATAAAGTTTGTTCCATATTGTGAACAGGATATGACAAATCATAAGTTTAAGAATGGTCTTACAAAAATGACACGGCAAAAGTGGATATTTTACCCTTTTTACACACATCGCTAGGTCACGACCATATTTGGCACATACTAGTACAAAATTGTTTAAGTAATTTCTGCTGAGGTGGTGTTTGAATAAGGAACACAATGAAGACATGTAACTATTTATGATAACATGTTCTGTTTCAGGCTACTTCTTGCCCCTCCACTGCTACTCATAATATTCTAACAATATCACAGTGGGGACACCAGAAATGGGCTTCACACATTGTATCCATGTGGAGAATTCAACATGACAAGTGAATACTTCAACCACTAGGCTATCCACCATCACCCCTTCATTAAGAAAACCCCTGAAACGTTCATACAATCAGAAAGATGCTGTTATCCCTAATAATCATCATGATTTAAATTCTTCCAACTTGTAAATTATTATCAAAGATTTGATATGGAA